TTCGGAGTCTCATCTTGTTTCGGTGTTTCAACTTGCTTGGGTGTTTCTACTTGTTTCGGAGTCTCATCTTGTTTCGGTGTTTCAACTTGCTTGGGTGTTTCTACTTGTTTCGGAGTCTCATCTTGTTTCGGGTTATCATCTTGTTTCGGAGTGTCATCTTGCTTAGGAGTTTCAACTTGCTTCGGGGTATCATCCTGCTTGGGCTGCTTGGGTGTATCGTCTTGATTGGGTTGCTTGGGGGTATCATCTTGCTTCGGGGTATCATCTTGCTTCGGGGTATCGCCTTGCTTGGGGGTATCATCTTGCTTCGGGGTATCACCTTGCTTGGGGGTATCATCCTGCTTCGGGGTATCGCCTTGCTTGGGGGTATCATCTTGCTTCGGAGTGTCACCTTGCTTTGGTTGCTTCGGAGTGGTGTCACCTTGCTTGGGTGTATCATCTTGCTTCGGAGTATCACCTTGCTTGGGTGTATCATCTTGCTTCGGAGTATCACCTTGCTTGGGTGTATCATCTTGCTTCGGAGTATCCTGTTTAGGGGCGTCTCCTTGTTTCGGAGTATCTTGTTTAGGTGCGTCACCTTGCTTGGGATTATCTTTTGGATTCGCTGGTTCTTTAGCTTGTCGTTTTTGCATTGCATTTCCTATTATTAGATGATTAGAAACTGGCGAAGCTCTCGTATTTGTAATGATAAAAATCAATACTAATAAAAAAAGAATGGTCAAAGTCCATTTTTGACTTGATCGAAGTATCTCCATCTTTTTAATTTTATATAAAAATTTTGTGAAAATTTTTTCAAGTTTCTGAATCTATCAGAAAAGTACTATTTATTACCGAAGCGAAGAGATGACAAGCCTGCTGCCACTCTCAAAAAAAAAGAAAAAAAAAAAAGGAAAAAATTGTGTATTGGATTTTGGTAAAAAACGTTCATGGCGAGTTTTTATATGTATTTATAAACGTGACAACAAAAAAAAACGCCCCTTCTATGCAAACGTTAAGTATTATTTGCTATAACATTGTTTTATTGTTTAGCAAGTCTTTTTTACGAAAATAGAAATTTAAATGTATGCAAATGTTAGTTTCTTTCTTTTTGTATATTCATGTACCTAATAAATCGAACAGTAAAATGATATCACATTTACATAATAAAGTCGTACAATCGATTGCATATTTTCTTTGGTGCTAAATGTGACACAAAGTAATCATTTAAAAAAAAAATGCCCACGAAAATTTCAAATAAGCTTTTTGATAATGTCTAACAAAATTAGGCAAAGGTAGAAAAAGCCAAGCTTTAGCATATTCTTAATATGGGTTATTATGATTCCATGGGTTATAATCATCATTACACACTTTGGTGTATAACCTATACTAACCCTTAAGCAAATTATCGATTCTTTATTTTAAAAGTTTTTGAGGTGGGGGGTCAAAGACAAAGGTGTGCATGAGATCGTTCATGATGCAATGCAATGCAATAAAACGTGCGGATCTGTACTCAATGTATTAATTTTATTAACCTCCAAAATTTAAATTCTGTTAAATCGTATTTAACGCCATTTGCCTTATATATACATAAGAGATCTCTTGATTACCATATGTGGGCGATTCATTAATAAGAAAATATTGTACATATGTACTGCATCCTATAACGAATATCAATAATTTCACTTAATAATGTGAATTTAAACCTTTCTTTATCTTTTTGATAGCGTTTCATCACGATGCATCATTAATGCCAAAACTAGCATTCAAGAGGGATCAAATGGGGGGTATAGTAAAGATTTTGAATGATTAATAGTATGGTTTTTTTAGTATTAAAAAAAATTAGAAAACCATACAAGTGGTTATGAACCATACTTTACATACATTCAAACCATACTATATAGGTTGATAAATACCGTTTTAAAAATTATCTTTCCTATTGTATTAAATTGGGATCACAAATAATCAAAAAATATTTTCATCGAGGCATGTTAAAGAAACGTTATTTGTCACATAATATATGTGTTTCGCTTTTTGCCATTATTAGAATTCATCAAGCATGATCATTGTTTACAAATGGCAAAGAAAAAAATAACCCTCCCCAATAATATTTTAACGGTCTCATGTAACTTTATTGACACGTGCTGTAAAACAATGATAAATTTTACCTTATTTATTTATTATGGTATTCTCCCCAATTAAGGAAACAAATTAGCATTTATGTACTCTGCCCGCAGGGATTTTGTCAAACATCCCAAAATGTATTATTAAAAAAATATATAAATTCGAGATTTGACCTACTTTTTTTTTAAAAAAAAGAAAAAAATTTAACTTTATTCTATATTTTTCGATTATCTTTTTTTTTCTTTTTTTAAACCCTGGTGGTCAATGATGTTCTAGAGAAAGGGTATAATATAGCAAAAATCATCCCACTCGTTAATTCTAATTTGATTTTGGTTTAGACTTAGTTTACTCATCCCCTTTTTTACATTATTCCTCATCACTTATATATATCTCAACTCTCTCTCTAAAACCAACAAATTATAATTAAAACGAAAATGTCTTCACTTTCACATTCACCTCAAATTAATACAAATGGTGTTGAGCGCCATTCACCGCCTCTTCCCCCTTCGCCTGTTAACAAACCCAACACCGACGATAACGCATACGGCGGAATGGATGATATTCCTCCTTCTCACCAAAACAATCCATCTCCCTATTATACTTATCCTTATAATTATCCTGATAAAAATGCAAGTCAAAGTAGCGAAGATAGTTCATCAAGTAAAGATAATTTGTTTCGCAACTTCTCCTTAACCAACAAGTCCCTTCCATCCCCTCCAAAAAATTATTCCACATATCCACAAACAACGGAACTAAATCCATCGCGTGACTTGGATCTGGAAGTAGATAAATCGGAAGAAAGAGGGTTCTTTCGCTTTCGTAATAAAAAAAGGGCATATTGCTTGATTTGTTGCGGAATTACATTTATTATCGCCGCCATAATGATTCCATTGATAATCTTTGTGGTAGTTCCTTCAGTAGCACAGAATGCCGTGACCGGAAGTGAATTGGCTTTTTCTAGCGCGTAAGTAACAGTTTGAAGTGTTAAATCATAGAAAACAATACATTTTACTTATTCTCGGTTTTCTCCTTTAGTAATCTCACTCAATTATCGGAAGATGACTTCATGATGAGCGTATTGGGGGAAGTAACCAATACCGGTCCTCTTCAAGCTACAATTGAGGTCCCCGGTGGCGTAACGGTCACATGGGAGTCGCTTGTTATTGGACAATTGCCTTTGGATCCTATAACCGCTCAGCCTTTTGTTGGCGCCAAAATTGCGTCATCAAAAATGTTCAAGGTCTTAAATAAAACTGCTTTTGCAGAATTTAATAAATTCATGTTGAAAGAGCGTGAATTTACCTGGCATTTGGAAGGAGTCGCTACGGTAAAAGCTTCTGGATTCTATCTTCAAGGCATTAAGTTATCAAAAGACGTTACAATGGGAGGTAAAGATTATCCAAAGAAAATTTTTTTTTTAAAAAAAAAAAATAAATTCAATTAACATTCGTTTGATTATTTAAAATTTCATTTTTTTAATCTTCTTATAGGAATGCAAAATTTCCCTTTAGTAACAATAGAAAGTTTCGATGCACCAGCGGAACATCCTGACGGTGGAATTGAAATTGAAATCATTTCAATAATGGTAAACCCTTCACCTATAGGAGTTGAATTAGGAGATTTGGTTTTCGATGTTGAATACCTTGGTTACATTGTAGGCGAAGTTGCTGCATCAGGAGTAACGTTAGCATCCGGTAAAAATAAACTAGATCTTAAAGGTCGGTTGATTCCTCAGAAAGATACTGAACTGTTAGCAGCAGTTGGAGATTTGTTTTCTAAATATATTACGGGAAAAAATGCGACAACTGGCGTGATAGCAAAATCAGTTAAACCGAAAAATGGAAGTGCACCGATAAGTTGGCTTCAATCTGCTTTTGAAGGAACTAAATTGTCAGTTGTGTTAGAAGGAGGAAAAAACTTGAATACTATCAGTAGTGTCGATATTAATACATTAGATTTACAATTTAACACCGAGAATCAATATACCCCTTTGGCAAGTTCTTCTTCGCTTACGGCAGGGTTCAGCATTCCATTTGGATTCCCATTGGAAATGAAACAAATTTCTCAAGAGATCACAATGTTTGATGGCGATAAGGAGTTAGCCAGCTTGGGCTCACCATTCACAGCTGCAAAAGGAGATTCAAAGTCAGGAAAGATCGAAACAAGTTTCGCTCCTACCCCTTTCAAAGTTGCTAATGGTGCTGAAAATACATTTGATGATTTCAGCAAACGTTTAACGTTAGAATCAAGAGTTAACATTAAAATGAAAGGGGTTGCGAATTCAATCGCGAAAACTCCTGTCGGTGATGTGGAGATAAACGGAATCGAATTTGAAGTACAATCCACATTGGCCGGAATTCAAGGATTAAAAACGAAACCTGCCGTCGTTAACTCCCTTGTTGTTACGGGTGGAACTACAGAACATATGTTGATAGAATTATCTGTTGCATTGTTTAATCCATCAAATGTCAAGATTGATATGGGAGGTGATGTTATATTTGACTTATTCTTTCAAGAGCAACTCATTGGTAAAGTAGTGATGGAAAAATTTGTGTTGGAACGTGGTGAGAATAATGCAAAGGTTATTGCGCAATTCGGTCCACAAGGTGAAGGAGCCATTAAGGCTGGTCGTGAATTACTTAATAATTTCATGGTTGGAGGATCAAATACGGTTGGGATTAAAGGGAATACTCAATCAACCATTATTGTTCCATTACAAAAAGCATTGGCTGCTTTGGAATTAACAACTTCTATGCCGGGATTGGTAACGGAAAAACCCATAATAGTAGAAGCAAGATTTGCCATCGGATTAAACACAATATTCGATTCAAAAGGAACTGCTTCAATTGATGCATTTAATCCATTAGATACCACTATTAAATTTTTGAAAATTCAATCAAGCGTAAGCTCGAAAGGAGAAATAATCGGTAATATTGATCAAGATTTAAGCGCGGATCCCGTTGTCATCCCTCCAAAACAAACTTTCACAACAAAAGATTTTGATTTAAATTTAAAGATTAGTGGCACCGCTTTTAAGAGCCTGTTTGATTCTTTGGCGGGAAATTTAAAAACCGATATTTCTTCTACGATCTTGGTCGCTATTGGTGATTATGTTACTGAAATTGATTATAATCAAAATGGGGTACAAACAGGTTTAGGAAAGGGTGCTGCTGAATAAACTTACAAAATTAGTATATCTTTAATTTGATAATGCTGTAATATAATAATATAAATTAAAACCAATATTGTCATTTTCTTTTTTTGTTTATTTCGTGTATAATATAAAGAAAGATAAATGTAAAAATCATGTAATATAACAAAATAAATAATTCTAATATAATTGATTAATTAAGGTAAATTTAATATTACATTTTATAAAAATATTAAATTTAGGATCAGGTATTAAAATCAGATATTTAATTCTTAATTTTTAAATGATTTTTTTTTCCGTTTAAATTTATTAAACTTATTTTATAATAATAATCATTGAAAAAATAAATTTATTAATAATATATGAAGAAAAATTTAAATAGAATTTTAGATGATTCTTATAAATTTTATTTAAGTTGTAACATTAAAATAAATTTAATTGTAACATTAGTTGCAACACAATATTTTAATAATTGTTAATGTAATTAAATTATTAAAAATTCACTAATCCTAAAATTTTTTATTTTATTTTTATAATATAATTTAAAGGTTTTTTTTTTTAATTTTTAGTAATATAATATATTATTAGAATAAAATAAATTGAAATCAAAAAAGTTAAATACATATATATAATAAATTATTTACTTTACAGAAATTCTTAAAATTCTAACGATATCGATTCGATATCGCAATAATATCATTTTAATATTGAATCGATATCGTTACGATATCTATGTCGATTCGATATCATAATGATATCACATCAATATGGAATCGATATTGATATTCATATCTTAGCAATATTGATTCGATATTATTACATATTATCGATTCAATGTCAATACGATATGGTTATGATAAGGCTACATTATGGTTAACGATATCAAATCAAAGTCGATGCGATATCGAATCGATAATGTTATGATGATAATGATTTGATATCAAATATTATCCGGTATCCCGTGATTTTTTAGAATTAATAATGACTATAATAAATCAGTTATCAGGCAAAAAATCGTTTATCAGGCAAAAAATCATTATCAAGCATTAATAATTTTTATTAAGCATTATTTGTATTAATAAAATTACATTTAAAACTAATTAATTATATATAGTACAATTTGTATAATAAGTTTTATTAATAATTATTTTTTTTTCCTTTCTTTTTTTCTTTTGACTTGTATTTAATTCAGAAGATGAAATTTCTTGTAAAGGCCTCTTATTTTTTTATTTAATAGTTGCGAAGCCTTATTAAAACCATTGGATGACTATACAATTTAAATTAATTGTCAATATAAAAAAATAATAATATTGATATAATAAAAATGTAAAAATATCTTGTCTTGTAATGCATTATCTTTATTAATACCATCATGTTCTACAGTTCCAGTCAATCTTTGCATAACTGAATTAAGAATATTTCTTTTTTTTTCCTTTGTTATTTTAAGATAGTTGCGAATTCCAGCTGATGAACTGTGACCTGAAATTGCCATTGCTTCAACTTCTTATTTCCAGCATCAAATATTGATTGAATTGCTGTATCACGTCCTGAATGATTAGAGATATTTCTTCCAGATATATTAATACCACATACTAGACAAATTTCTCGAAACATTCCTCTAATTCGTTTTTCTCCAAATCCTCGATCATAATACCATATTCCTTTAGAAATTGCTAAAAAAAAATTAAAATTAAGTAGAAATTCAATTAATAATAAAATAATTAAAAAAATATTTACCTGATGCATTTGTTGAGATTCCTAAATAAAATGTTATAGTTTTACAATTTAAAGGTCTCATTGAAATATACTTACGAATATCTGCATTAGGTTCAGCCACACCCTTAATATCTGATGGAAATGGTATTTCAAAGGTAGATTGATTACCTTCTAATCCTTCTTGATCATTTTTTTGTTGAAATTTCTTAAAAATAAATCCCTTTTCTGTATCTTCAAATTGGTCAATTAGTAAATTGTAATGTTTACTACCTCGCGGACATCCTAGCAGACAAATCCAAAAATAACTTTCCGAAGCAACCTTTCAGGTTCATTTGAAGACATGGCATTATTAGATAAGATAATTTTTAATTTCTCATTTGTTAAACCTTCATGTGGTTTTGGAGCACCTATTCCTAATCTTTTCATTTCTTTTAAGGTACCATCAAGTGTGGCATGAAGTTTTGGAAAATTCTTTTTATCTAAAAGATTATAATTCCATTGTGATTTGGAATTTTTAAGATGACGGCTTATTGAGGCAACAGCATTTTTCAAGGAAGCTCTTGAGTATTTTTCGCCTTTTGTTGTTCTCACACCATATATAAATTCACACATTTCATTTTCTATTTGTTCATTAGAGAAAAGTGTTTCTAAGGTGTAGGAATAGTTCACATTTTTGCGTCAAGTATTTAAAATATTGACCTATTTTTCAATGCATTTAACTGTATTTAATAGTACACGGCTTTGTTGAACCTTTGAAAGTTCCTCAGCTTTAGGTTTGAAATAAGTCTAAAAATTTATTAGTTATTAAAATTAATATAATTTATAGCTTTAATATGTAAATTATTTACAATTTCCATTAACGGAATTTAGTTTGCGAAAGTAAATTATTCGTAAAATTTGTAAAAAAAGAAAAAATATCATGAGAAAAAATTGTTTGTGGGAAAAAATTATTATTTATTTATAAAAAAAAAGTTTAAAAAAGTTAAAAAAATAGTTTAATCATGGGAAACCAGATAAATCACTTATTTAGCACTTCGAGCTGAATAACTACTGCTACCTACAAGGTAGCTAATAATATTGGGAATCAAATTTGATTTGTGATTCGGGACTCCTGCGGAGCTCCAAATCAACCAATCAAATTTGATTTTCCCAATATAATAGTTATTCGGCACTTCGTGTCGAATAACTATTAATTGTCATATTTGTCAACTAAGTCAAATAATAATTTGTAGATCAATTTTGATGATCTTTTAATAATGTTAATTTGTAGCTAACAATGTTTATAATTTAAAATTTAACATTTTAATTATAATAAATTATACAAACAACTTTATTAAAATATAGAAAGAAAGTATATTAAATAAAATTAAAAATATGTTAAAAAAAAATAGATCAAAAAAAAAATTTTTTTTAAATATTTTATTTTATTTAATTTGATTGATTAATATGAATTTTATTAGATCAGGTTATAAGTTTGACCTAATCTGATGTTAACCTGAAAATTTGTCTACCTGATCTGGATTTTTAGGTATGATCAGGTCAGATCACAGGTTGATCTGACCTGATTCAGAACTTTAATATTGATTAATACTAATTAAATTATTAAATTTTTAGCTTGAAATCAACTTTTGTATTTTATATTTTATATTAAATAATATATTAAACATTTGATAATACAAACTATTAAATATACTAGTTAATCTAATAAATTTAACATTTTATAGGAATTTAAAGTATTGATATTTGAAAAAGTAATAATTAGTGATACTTTATTTTATGAAACTACCTTTTTTAATATGACAAACTAATAAAACTATGATGAAACTAGATTTTTATTAAAGATAGTGTTGTAATTAATTTAAAAATATTTAATTAGTTACAACTATTTATGAATTTTATATTAGAATAAATTCTACAAGGAGTTACAACTAGTTGCAAATTCTTAATTATAATATTATCTTTATTTTTATAAATGACAAAACTATTTTACTTAATTGTTAAAATTATATTTAACTTTATACTAATTAAAAAAATCCATTTCATCACTTTTTAAAGTGTTGAATATTAGACAAAATATAGTCTTATTTTTGCTAATCATTACCAAAAAAATTAGCATTTTAGTTATAGCTGAAGTTACTTAACATAATTGTCAATTAATAAAAATCATTATTTAATAATTGTTAATTATTTAATATATTTCATACAATTAGCTTAAATTTGTTTAATTTATAAAACAAATAAAATTGATTTAGTTAATAAAAAATCAGTAATATTTTGGTTATAAGTTTTATATGATCAGCTTAAATTTGTTTAATTAATGATACTAACAAAAAATTGATTTAGTCAATAAAAAATCAGTAATATTTTGGTTATAAGTTTTATATGATCAGCTTAAATTTGTTTAATTAATGATACTAATAAAAAACTGATTAACTTAATAAAAAATAAATAACCTTTTAGTTATAAGTAATCTAAAAATCAGTAAAATAAATTTTCATATATTTAGATAATTTTATTAATATTTATATTTACATTTAAACAATTTATTTATTTTATAATAATGTAATTTAGTTAAATTAATAATAAATAATTTATTAATTTAAAATATATAATAAAATATAAATAAAATATAATTATAAAATATAATAAATACAAATATAGATAAACAATTAATTAAGAATTAAAGACAATTTGCTATAAATTATAATATGTTAAATTTATTCTTCTTTTTCAATGTTATTATCTTGACCTTTTACTTCAGATATTAGTGTTGAAAAATCAGTATCTGCTAGAGTATTTTGATTACAAATGTCTAATCAGAAGCATTTCAGGAGTGTCAAATATATATTGTAAATTCATTACTATAATTTTGAATTCTTGTTAATCAGCGATTTTCAATGAGAATGTATGACAGTTCAGCTCTCACAATAATGCTTTTAACTAATAAAATTAAATATCAAAATTAGTTATAATTTAATTAAAATTATAAATAAATTTTTTAAAAAAAAATATTAAAACTTATCTGACTTTCAATTCATTAATTATTTGTATTTCAGTTTTTTTTCAAATCTGTCTCTAAATTTATTGTTAAATTTAAAATTTCAAATTCAAAAATTGTAATAAGAATATTATATATAACTTTATTTATATGTTACTGACTAAAAATTATTCTAGATTATACATGAGTTTTAAAATAATATATTATTCTTTAAAAATTAGTTTTATTAGAAATTATATCTATTTATTAATTATTTTCTAAATTAAAATCTTATAAAATATATTACATACTTAAATATTCCTTTATTTGAACTTGTTTTATTTTCAACTTTTAACTTAATTATATTAGATGATAATAATTGATATTTAAATTATATACAATTAATAACTTATCGATATATATTTGGTAAATCAATCTTTTAAGAGTATTTAAAATATTTTTCTATACTTGAAAATTGTAAGAAATCTTTAAATATCTGAAAAAATTAAAAATAAATTGTTGAGATTTAATATTATTATTCCAAAATTTTAAGATTTGAATTAGAGGTGTGATTTGATTAAACTGACTATCCTTTTAATTTGTTCAAATCACATAATTTTTGCTGACCATTTCCATTTAAATAAATTATTACATAAGATTTTTAAATAGAAATTTTTATTTTTAGAAAAAATATTTTTATAAAATAGCAATTACTAAAAATAGCATTGATTAATATTATATATGAAATCGAAATGAAAACTTAAAAATTAAAATGAAAGTCTCAATAATTAAAATAATATCATATCATATAATTCTTCATATATAAAAAATTTAATAAAGTCATTCTGATTTTTATAAAATAACTACTATTCAATTATTGTAACTAAATAGATCTAATGAGTATTTTACATTAATTTCTGATTAGTAAATCTTGAAATAATAGAAGTCGTATTTCAAAAATCTAGACTCTTTTATTTAAAGTAGAATTTATTGAATTATAATTTTAACTAATTATTTAATCGTAATTATCTTAAGATTAATTAATTAAAAATTAATGTAATATAGCTTATTAGATTTTTCTAGTTATGAGAAATCAAATACTAGTTATTTTATGAGTAACTGAGCAATATTGACCAAAATACTATATTTATTATTTTTATAGATTTTTTATATATGAAAAGTTATGTGATATGATTACTATTTTGACTTTTAGATTTTTTTAAAGTTAAAATATTAGATTTTTAAATCTCCTTAAAGTTAAAATGTTTGATTATTTTAATTATTTCAAACATCTATTTTGACTTTATATATAATTAACATATTTGTATATAATATTAGGTGATAAAATTAAATATTAGCTTATCAGATTATATCTTTAGTTTGAATATCAAATATAAAAAAAACATTATATACTTAAAACAAAGTAGGAATTTTATATTAAAATATCTTATATAAGATCACATACATTATATTTCTTATTTAATCAATAATGTTTGAATAAGCAAAAGTTTTTTCTTAAAATCTATATTATCAATTACTCTAATATTCCAAATATTCAAAACCCTTCACATGAATTTGCTATTATTATTCTATTATTTTCTAATTTGCATTCATATCTAATGACTTATTTGATCCTTTTTTATAAATAATTAAAAATTTTTTCAATTAATTTTTAAAATATATTAGAGGTTTGCTAGGAAAATAAGATTTTGAGAATTTTTTAATAAAATTTTAATTTTTGTTATATTTTTAATTTTTGATGATATTAGATTAAAATGTAATAATAATTAAATTTAATTAAAAATTTTTTAATATCTAATATATCTTATTTTCTAGCAAATCTCTATATGATAACTAAGCTATTAAAATTAGGTTATAGGACTTTCTAATCAAAAATGAGATTTTTATTTAAATTATTATATAATATAACAAATCTATTTGATTAAAATTTTTATGGCCTATTATCTTATTAATCTTATTAACAAACTAAGCAATTGATATTAGCAAAAATTCTTCAAATTTTATATAATATTAAGCATAAAATCTAAAATTAGATTTTAGAAACTATCGATGTATATGATCAACATATAATTTTTGTTATACTTAAAAATTTTGCTATTAAATTCACTTTAGGAAATATCATTATACTAATTTTGTAAGAGATATATTATGTAATAAAATTAGCAAATTTTAAGTATTACAAAAATGTGTAATGAAATTAGTATAATAATTAAAGATGGTAACAACAATTATTTTATTATGTTGCAACAAATAAAAAATTAATTAAATGTTATAACATGATTAACTT